CTTTCATTTGTAAAAGCAACGTATGAGTTGCTACACTATGAAAAGCATTTTAAAAGAAATCTTATTTAGGTTTCTTACTGTTCAAACTTCAGTTCACGAATAAAGCGAGCACAAAACTAAAATCTAGTACTGTACAGATTTCGGATTAATTGAAATCAGAAAATTAGTGTTTGCTCATTAGATTGTTTAAAATGTTTAGAAAGCTATTTTGTTCTGCCTACAGTATAAAATCAATTCTGAAGAAACCGATAGGATCGATATTGAACACATACGAATCGACGACTCCCAACTCATCCAGTTGAGATTGCACTTCAACTAATAAATTGTCAAGTTCAACACCTGGTTGTAAATGTGTATTTTGTTGGTCTCAGAGTTATACATTACCTGACAGAAAAAGATTACTTATATCAAATGAAACTTCAAGTAAAATGTTTAATGTGGCATCTGATACATCTAAGCGAGGATACAGATTAACTTCAGATTATTCCGCCCTACTTTACGATCACATTGCAATGCTAAGTTCAGGCGTGTCCACCTTCGTTCTCCTCATCATTTGCGATACATCCCCTTTTTTATAGTGATTATTCGGTAATTAATTCTGACCCGCATGGTTCATGTTTAGTCGCAGATTAAACTATGAATTCATCACTAAACAACTGTCAGCAATGATAACCCGATTATTCTACAACTAGCCACTACGAAAAAGCATTTGATAGCGTGGACAGAACAACCCTATGGAAGCTTCTTCGACACTACGGCGTGCCTCAGAAGATAGTCAATATCATACAGAATTCCTATGATGGATTAAACTGCAAAATCGTGCATGGAGGACAGTTGACAAAGTCGTTCAAAGTAAAGACCGGTGTCAGGCAAGGTTGCTTACTCTCACCCTTTCTCTTTCTCCTGGTGATCGACTGGATCATGAAGACATCAACATCTGAAGGGAAGCACGGGATACAGTGGATAGCTAGGATGCAATTGGATGATCTAGACTTCGCAGATGATCTGGCTCTTCTATCGCATACGCAACAACAAATGCAGGAGAAGACAACCAGTGTAGCTGCAGCCTCAGCAGCAATAGGTCTCAATATACACAAAGGGAAAAGCAAGATTCTTCGATACAACACAGCATGTACCAATCCAATCACAATTGACGGAGAAGATTTGGAAGATGTAAAAACCTTTACATATTTGGGCAGTATCATCGATGAACACGGTGGATCTGATGCAGATGTGAAGGCACGGATTGGCAAAGCAAGAGCAGCATATCTACAACTGAAGAATATCTGGAACTCAAAACAATTAGCAACCAACACCAAAGTCAGAATTTTCAATACAAATGTCAAGACAGTTCTACTGTTCGGGGCGGAAACCTGGAAAACTACGAAATCCATCGTCCAAAAGATACAGGTGTTTATTAACTGTTGTCTACGCAAAATACTTCAGATCCGCTGGCCGGACACTATAAGCAACAACCTACTGTGGGAGAGAACAAATCAGATCCCAGTGGAGGAAGAAATCAGGAAGAAGCGCTGGAAGTGGATAGGACACACATTGAGGAAAACACCCAACTGCGTCACAAGACAAGCCCTCATATGGAAACCTCAAGGTCGAAGGAGGAGAGGAAGACCAAAGAATACATTACGCCGGGAAATGGAGATAGATATGAGAAAAATGAACAAGGATTGGGTGGAACTAGAAAAGAAGGCCCAGGACAGAGTGGGTTGGAGAATGCTGGTCGGCGGCCTATGTTCCATTGGGAGTAACAGGCGTAAGTAAGTAAGCCATCACCACAAACATTTAGTTACACACGGATTTTATCGAAATGAAACAGTCAGTTATTGTTAAACCTACTGCTTTCAATCAGAGCTACGTTAAGGCGCATTTTCTATCAGAAAGTCATTTAATTCACTTTGATACATATAGCCCTCAAACTATTGTACAGCTATACGAAAGTTTCTGGTATCTACTGGGGAGCCAACAAGTGTCAACATCTCATGTTCGAGAGCGTCAATCTCACCAACTTTACCAGCTACTGTATGCGTGCAAATGAGACGTTCAACTCAACTTGGCGCACTAAGCTATAACCAACTAAACGGCGAACAAATAGAATATGGCTTAGTTTATTAGCTAGTGAGAAATACTCAAGCGACTGAAAAATTGACCTATTCAACCTAGCGATTAGGTCATATTAGTTTTCCTTACGAGACATTGTTGAGTGTTTCATCGCCTACTGATGCATTGGACCAAACAAGTTTATCAGCTACAGTCTAGTATCAGTTAGATGAGCTTATTGAGAAGATAGCTTATGACAAAACAGATGGGGGCGTTTCGCGGAGTATTTCACCTAGCGGTAAACTCAACAATATGGAATATGAGAAGAGTATAAGTGACGATTCAAATATCTAGTCCTTCAAGTATTTATCAAGCAACAAATATGATAAATTACGCTCATATAAAACCTCATATTATCCCAAACTTTCATTTGTACCATTCTGTAGTACAGTCAACAATTACAAATACTCCTTTTGTGTCCAATCATGATGGCTATAATAAATTAAGTCCAAATAATAATAATTTCAATAGTTCCTTGCAGAACGTACACAATTTCCCTTACTCAATCAAGAAAATATCTTTGATCGAATATCTCGAACAAAATTATCACATCCGACTTCAGTAGACATAAATAATTTTGATAATGTTTTTTTAAAACAACTGATTTGTACATAAGTAGCATACTGATGTTATTTAACCATGCCTTCTAAACAAGCAATTAAATCTTAGATCAATAGAGTGTCTTTTTATAACTTGACATAATTTATTGACTTTTAAATGACATTGTTAGTATATATACATATAGATACGTGAGAGTACGGAGACTTTAGAGATGGATGTTTACAATTATGATATTTGTTAATTCATTTAGACTAAACGAAACTAATTTTTTCTTCTCACGAAAGAATATGTGTTGTTTTGGAATTATATACACTATATTTTATCAGTTAAGAGAATTTCGAAAGTCAGTCAGTCAAACAGTTTAAATCCTGGTTCAAGTAGCCATACGCCATTAGCATAGAGATGAAATCGGTAGGACAAATTTCAGAATAGTGAAGGTAGTAATAGTATCAGTAGTAATAGAGGTTAGGTATTAAAGATAAAACTCGATAAAATATTAATCACTGAAATTAAAACGAAAAAAAGTTATGAGGAATTTATAATTTGGGAAAAGACAAAGAATGAATGCATCTGCACCATCTTAAACGATTTTAAATCATTTCGTTCAAAGTCTTTAATCATTGTTTACGACAACCACGCGGCCCCCAACCAGGTAGTCTACTCCTATTAACATGGCCTAGTCCAATTGTTGATGACTTCATGGACTGATATCATGTAGAAATGTCACATAAATTCTAATTAATAACAGTTGATCACTTTATCCGATTAAATGTGTACATGAACCTTCACATAACTCACTTATTATTTGAAAGGTTTCTCAAGAAGTTTAATGTTACGGAATATCAAGTTAAAGGTACAGATTTGTTGATATATTACATTCGAATCAAACTGCACTTCCCAGAATGATTTCCTTTGAATTATCATATATAGTATTTCAACTTGTTTTTTAAAATTTTAACAGGACTTTTTAAAATAACCAAAAAGTTTTTTTTAATTTTGTCTGCGTTTTTTAAAATCTTTTACATGCCAGAGATGGATAGAAAAAACAATTTAATTTCAAAAGAGAAGAGAAAATGCCTCATAAAAAAGGTTATTGAAGACGTGAATTATCAGGCCGCTGCAAGTGTTATAAAAATTTTAGGAAACGCAGACGAAATTTATGGTTATTTCAAAAAACCCTGTTGAAATTAAAAAAACGAGTTGAAATACTAAATTTTAAAACCCAATTGATTGATCTCTAAGTAGTAACTAATGTAACATCTGTTCAGTCCTTCTTAGTAATGATCGGTTTCTATCGATCAAGGTGTAATATGGACACCAACCTTAGTGATTTGATATTGTGTGCCTACAGTACAATTTTACGTATCTTATACGCTATGTATAAAAATCCGATATGAACATTACTCAATCAATTTATCTAACATATGTAAACTATACTTCTACCAACAGTATCTCAAAATCATTCATACTCAACTCAACAAACAACGAAATACTTCAGTAGTGTTTTGGGCAGAAACGTTACTTACTGTTCTGTTTTAGTGACAGAAATATTAGTACAACTCCCTCTGTATACATATGAATCCACTTAACTCCCCTTCTCAAAGAACGAAATTGCGTATAGAAATATTATCAATTATTTATACATACTATACGACAATCACAGCCGCTGCGTGAACTTCAGGCCTGGATTTTCTCCGTCACAACATCAAAAACAACAAAAGGTTTTATAAGAATTAATTAAATTGGCGAATCTTCACAAAAAGTGAGGAATATAACTAAAATAAAAATCAGGTGAGCTGTTTTGATAAAAGATTTGAAAAAAAACAAGAAAGACTTACAAAGTAACAAAGGTTTTTAAACAGTAAACCAAAAAATTGTTTTAAATAACAGATAAATATTTGAAATCAACAAGCTTATCTCTGTTGGACTAATTATAGGAATTTGTAGCATGTAGGGGGTGTTTATTATATGTGTACGTATGTACCTGCACACACATAATTTTAACAATAATGTAGTATTGTAAAAAATGTTCGAGTCAATTACACAAACATCAATCAAACCAAAGTCATATTCACATGGATAAATAAAAAGAAACATAGTTGACAAACATATCACTATTATTATTTAAAACAAATAACAGTAGTATTAGGAGTGATAATTGGTTAAACAACGGTAGAGGAAAGGCAATTTTACAGTGGTTTGAAGATTTTAAAAAGAGAAATACACAAAATAGGTGTAAACCACGAAGACTACTTTTCTTTTCCAGAAATATTTGATAAATGTTCTTGGAACATTATAGAAATGACAACTAATTTAATTTCTAGTTATTTAGTGAAAATACACTCATAATGTGTAATTAGTATTTGTGTGAATGCATTAATCACATCGATGGCAGTCAATGAAGCTTGATTCCGTGACCAAATTAAGCTAGGCCCGAATACAACAGCTAAATTAGCTGCATTCATCTTATTTTGTTGAGAATAAGTAGTGACCTGAAATAATGAGAGTGAAAAAAAAGATTTATGTGAAAAACATAAACCGCCACAGATCTTGACAGGATAGTTAATTCCAAATAAAAAAACACTTGATTTCTAAATATAAGAATAGTAAAAGGCATAACAGTTTGAATATAGACAGCGAACAAGAATAAGGAAAGTACCTACACAATAGATACTCACAAAAGCAAAAATGAATACATGGTCTTCAAGATTTGTTACTGGAAAAAATATAATAATATATCTACTGATCATAGTAAGGTTGGATTCAGATTTACCAAATGACAGGTATCAATGGTATATTTAATCATGGGATAATGGGTCAAAAAAGGATCACTGGTTGTCGATTGAATAATGAACAATACTATGTCTGACTGGTACTTTTTCTGATCAAAATCTACCGTTTAGGTTTCAATGTAGTCACTAGTCTAAGTTATAACAAGAGTAGGACTATTAATTAGTTGAATATGATAATCGTTCACTGTAACGCTCGGTTATATTCTGACATTTTCTGTTGTGTATTCATTCCAATATGACTTTTGTTCTTTATAGTATTCCCTTAAGTTCTGATTACTTAATTCTACTCAATAATCACTGCAAAATGAATCAGCGAATACGAGAGTTATACTTTTTCCTAATTTATATTCTTGCGTACCAGGATCGGCTTTGTATTTTTAATAATTGTGGCTCGGTCAAAAGTATTGGGGTCAGCGTTAAGGAGTAACTTCACCCTTGTATTTATATTAGTGAGATGTGTAGCGAAAAATAGGTTATGTATAATATTAAGTAAGATTTAGCGAGTTCGAACTGCGTGAGGAGCATCGAACCGTCCTAGATTGTGATAAATAAGTCTGGCGAACAAGTGTTAGATAGCACCCGACAGACTAATACTACAAATTATAATTTTCTTTTTGATGTAAAATTGTTTATGTTAAAAATTTACACTAATTAGTTTTATAATTGTTCTGGACTGTTGTTTCATATTTTGCTCATTATTTTTTCTATCTATGAAATTACATTTAGTCTGTGAAATTAGTGCGTTCTCTTTTTGAAGGATTTAGGATACGTAGTGTTATATTGAATCCACTTTATTTATTTTATTATTTGTATAAATGAGGTCCCGAATATAGATGTATTACACAAACAGGGGCATGAAATTGTAGAGATAAAAAGAGAGATAGGTATAATTAAAAGGAAATAAACAAATAGTATACACTGAAAAGGACAGTTCATTTAAAATACATTCAGTTGAGTTTATTTTATTTTTATGAAAGATGTAAGAGGAAATCACGGTTGAGCCATTTCTGATCAAGTCTCAAGACCGTGGGTTGATTCACTTTTAAAACTCCCAACCAGGGAGACGTAATGGTCCAACAGATTTAAGTTACATACAGCTTTCCTACAACTAATGGCGCACTGGCATGAATCGTCCACTTCTTTGCCATTACCATTAGGACGACATAGGTAACAAATGTTAGGCTAGCCGAAGTCGGTGTTTCGAAATGATGACACTAAGTGAGTGATCGTCGCTGTATTCGAACACACAATACCGAATCTAAACATTACTAACATGATTTTATCGCTGGATATCAGTAATCCTACGGAGATAACGATGATAGAACATAGAGTTGCCTAACATTCTCCGTTGGGAGAGACCAGTTTCCAGAGCTAAAATGAATTGAAGCCGCTGAATACTAAATATTTATGATTAATCATTAATAATGATCAGGTCACAAATGAACTATAATATTTCAAAATAAACGTCTCATGTACACACATACATCCGAAAAACTCACTAACCTCTGTTAAAAATCTTATTAGGTAATTTAATATTTCGTAATTATCATCAGGTAACTTCACAAGAATTAATTTTTTAGCTAATGCAACCTTTTCTTTGGCACCCAGACCTTCCACAATTTCAATGAAAAGAGAGGGAGAAAGAAGATAGATGTCTATTCTATGCAACAAATAATCATATGGATTTGATAAATACATAATAATACCAATAGTAATATTAATGATCACTAGCGCTAATCCTGGTTGTTCTTTCAACATACATATCCTTCTTATTCGTCACTATCTGGTGTATTGTACCATATTAATTTTTAATATTCAGTAACTAACGTTATCGTCAATTATCCTTTGCAAATATCACTTGGGATGTCTTATTTGCTACAGTAGGGAATATTTTTTAAATGTTTATATGTGTTTGCAACACAACCCATTCTATCATCGAAATTACACTTATCTGACGACTTCAGTAGTTTATCCTTATTTCATATGTGTTTATTGAACATACGTTTATTCGTAAAAACCTACATATTTGATTTTAAGATAGTTCTTATTTAAATTTACCACCCAATATCATAGACTATAACTTGGCTCTACGTGGTGTTCTTCAATTTATCGACACACATCCTCTTTGATCAATGCTATGAAGTATCATATATTTTACACACTTCCTCCTTCTCAGTCGAATAGTACCAATAGTTCGGACATAAAAATGTATGACTGACAGGTGGATTACACCATTATTCAGTAATATTTAGTTAGTAAGTTATGTTAGTTAATTAGTTTCGAAAATGAATTACAAGATTACTTACCACTTGTACCTAATATTTCATCATACAGTTCAAATGTTAATAATGGTTCAGTAAGTTCACGTAAAAATGATTTCAATAGAACAGCTGCCAAATGAGGATCATCATAATCTCGTAGATCGACAGTTTCACCTATTATTTATCATTATTTACGGGAAAGTAAAAAAAACATACATACAATATAATATATAAAATTAAAAACACGAAAATACAAAAACCTTACAAATCAAACTTCACAACCATCACATAAACTAGTGGTTATCACGATACCGAAGATCAGTGGAAAACGCGTTGCTATTTGATGTGAAAGGAATTAGATTCAAGTCCGAGTGAATGCGAGTACGGAAATGTAGGTACATCCAGGTGACGAGTCCCAAACAGGAAGGAAAGTGTATCACAGATTCCACTTCTGGCCATTGTCCAACTTTAGTAGAAACGTATGATTAAATGATAACATTGAGGCAGTGTGTTCAAGATATACACATATACACCAACAGATAACCGCTTAGAGATAGTTAACAACAAGAAATAACAAGCCCTCATACATAAGGTATACACAATAAAAATAGTTTAACAAATATTTCAAAAAGACATACATATATAGATAATTGAATAATACGATGTGAGAAATGTAGCAGGTTAATTTTGATAAGATCATCATTGTATGCTGAATATTTTCATCCACTCAAATTTTTTGGTATATATTATATCGAAACTAATAGATAGGGAAACATATTGAAGTCTGACTTTATTGAAATCCTGAACCGATCTAAGTTAGACAATCACTGAAAACTTGAAAACACTGGACAAGTGAGAAGCCGTGCCGGATATGAGGCAATTACTCACCGAAGACAATGCAAGGTGATCACGCAATGTCGTGGATTGATTTACGTCAAACACTAATACAGTTAGATCCCATCCGGCTCAGTGGTTAAAAAGTTACGCGTTTGCGCGTGAGACCGAAGGTCGTGGGTCCTATTACCACATGCGGAGTAATAGATGCGCACTGCTGGAGCAACAAATACTAGGACGAAACACCTGTCCGATGCCTCCAGATTTCCATTGGTTGTCTAACTTAGATCGTTTCGGGATTTCAATCAAATTCAATAATCTCCATAACCCCATACTTATAAAAATTTATTGTTGGGAACTGAAAACGTTTTGATTCTCTTTTTACGAGAAAATGTTTAACTATTATGATTTTATGCTGCCGAAGCTGTAGTAAAATGAACTGTTATACATACAATAGACAGCATAGAAAAAGATGAATAGATGTTACCCATTATAATATTGGCAGTAAGGGCTTCAATGCATGAAAAAGGGTGTATGACCAGACCCAAATAATTGCCCATTAGGTTTTACCGTCACACATCCAGATAGACAAAATCGCTACCAAACCAATTTCCATTAAAGGTGCCTTAAGAAATATCCTACCACAGTGTAGGTAACTGAAAAATGATTACCACCTATATATTTCTAGCAATGAAGACCAGAGTAATCGAGTTTTAATCACTACGCTTCATTCACTTCGGTTTGTTTTAAAGAGTAGCAGTGCCAGTAGGCTTCATACAAATACTGTACCTCGAGTTCAAGTGCATACAGACCTGTATTTAGCGAATTTTTCAGATTATAACACATCAAAAAAGAATTAAATGACAATATCAATGAATATGATCTTAATAGCGTACTTTAGAATAGACGTCAGGCAGGTTTGTTAACAACCGAGACTTTTAACAGTTGGATATCTAAAGTTAGAAACCAATTAGACCTTGTGCAGTTCGGACAAACTGGGTTAGTATCACCAACTTTTATAGGAACAAAGTTGAGTAAATAAATCTGTACATGGACACATAGTTGTATTATTCCAAATAATATTTGTTATAATCTGTGAAAAAACGATACTTCCTACAGGAAACACTGAGATTTACACAACTCAATTAAAAAAACAAAATTAACAGCCGTAGTAAGAATTATTCGTCCCCCGAAAAACACGACAAAAAATTCCTTTATCAAACTAAATCCATTTATTTATTGATTTTACTGACATTTGACGATTAGTCAACGCATATCACTTATAACTGAAATATAGTAAATACAAAGATAGATTTTTCACAGAAATAGTACAAAAAGTATACTATATGTTACACTCTGCATAAATGTCACATTAAATTAAACAAGAATTATGTTAAGTAATTATCCCATTGAAATGATATCATACACGGAAGTAATGCTGAACAATAATTAATTACTTAATAATTAGTTACAATTTGATCTCACATTTGCATTTCCTCCTGACAAATAATATTTATTCTAATCCATCTTGACCGTTGTTGCTACCTTGATGTGGTGGTCGGGCTTGCCTATCTTGATGAAGCAACTGAGCTATACTGGCCGGAACGACCGTTCCTCAAGGTCCTACCATGCCACACAGGTCGGTTGAAGAGCGGTAAGACTAAAAGCAACAAAACCAACGCCCGAAGGAGAAGTCGTACTGCTGACTGTACAGAGGTGTGACAGCAGTTAGGTGTTCCCTTCAGACAGCCAGTGTGACAGCGATGCTGCCTTCCCACAAGGAGGAGTGGGGTTAGAAAAGGTCGACCCTAAAAATGCACACTTCGCCTTATCCCACGGATATCCGTCTCCGGCGGTTAGGTCTCAGCAAGTACGGAGCTAACACAAAAACTACTCATAAAAAGGTCGTGTGTGACCGACCTCAAGCAGCTGTCCCTTGTGCACTGTGGTCACGCTCCCAGGTCACTATGACCACCTCTAGTCCAATTTTCTTTTCAGTTACCTCCAGCAGAACCCTTCCACGGTGTGGGCAACCGGGAAGTGATAACCGCCTCATACCTCTAACAGCACTCAAGACCACTGTATTCATAATCAAACTACCTCTTCAATTCCTATTATTTCTCCTTCATCGGCTTTCAAATCTAAACTTCCTCTTTTGGCTTCCTCATCAAGTGTCACCACAGCCAACGATTCTAGTGCTCAAAACACTGTCCCAGGTCTACTGAAACCTCGCTCCAAACAACACATTGGAGCCTTCAACGTACGCACACTATGCCAAATCGGTCAGCAGGCTTCCTTGGCTAAAACCTTAGAATCTTATACCATTGATGTATGCTGTGTCTCCGAAACACGCATACAAGATCCTAGCGTGGTCATTCACTTGACCTCACCTCGGCAAAACGGAGAGCCGACGAGATACACCCTCCGTGTATCTGGCGACCCGATGGCTAGTTCTCGTGGACTGGCAGGTGTAGGCATAGCACTAAGCATGATGGCGGAACAAGCGCTATTGGAGTGGATCCCCGTTAACAGTAGTCTATGCGCTGTTCGGCTAAACGGCTCGGTAAGAACTCGGAAGGATAGGGACACATGTCGTTGCAACTGTGCTCAGACAATCGTTTATTTTTAGCAAACACGAATTTTAAGCATAAGGAGAGACATCGTCTAACATGGCGACCCCCTGCACCAAACCAACGATGGACTCAAATAAACCATATTGCTATCAGTGATCGTTGGAGAGGGTCGATAGAAGATTGTCGCTCATTCTGGAGTACCTGCTTGGACTCCGACCATGCCCTAATACGAGCACGCATCTGCTTGCGCTTCACTGGACGCAAAAAAGCCACACACAAAAGACTCATTACAACCGAATTGAGTAATGAGAAAACCAAAAGTAGGTTCCAGGAACAACCGAGATCACACTTAGGTAGTTCTGAAAACGAGGCTTACCCCGATGTTGATTGGAAAGACATACAAGCAGCTGTGGAAACAGCAGTGACATCTACTAGTGATTTAAACCACAGGGTTACAAAGAACCAATGGATTTCTTCAAGGTCTATTGCACTGATAGATTCTCGTAAACTCATCCTATCAGGTTCTGAACACGATGAAGGGCGTAAACAAATCAGATCTAGGTTAAGCAAAAGTCTAAGGAATGATCGTGAGCAGTGGTGGGCAACGAAAGCAAAAGAGATGGAAAAGGCGGCGGTAATAGGGAACACAAGACAACTCTACAGACTAATAAAAGAAACTGGAATTAATAAATCAAGTGTAAGTCAGACTATTTCGGAAAAAGACGACACTCTCATCTGCTCCCAGTCCAGACGTTTAGAACGATGGGCGGAACATTTTAAGGAGCAGTTCAGTTGGCCTTCAGCTACTCTACAACTACCCTCTATTCCCAGACAGTATGAATGGAACACTGAAGTAGGTCCCCCAACTCTAGCTGAAGTTCAAAAGGCTATAGCTAATCTGAAACGAGGAAGGGCAACTGGTCCAGATGGATTGGCCCCAGAGGTCTTTAAGGATGGTGGTCTAGTTTTAGCGATTAGGTTCACTAATATTTTAGCTAAAGTCTGGGAGTTGGACGTATTCCCATCTGACTGGTCACAATCACTTATCGTCCCAATATATAAGAAAGGGTCAAAATCATCCTGTGACAACCACAGAGGGATTAGTTTGACTAATATAGTATCTAAAATACTAGCCTCGATAATTATCGGACGCCTAAGACTCGTGAACTGCAAACACGTGAAAATCAGGCTGGCTTCAGACCTGGTCGTGGATGCATCGACCACATATTCACCATTTGTCAGGTTCTAGAACACAGGCATAATTATCGGCGTCCGACAATGGTAGTCTTCCTTGACTTAAAAGCAGCATTTGACTCTGTTGATCGAGAGGTTCTGTGGCAGTGTCTGTCATTGAAAGGCGTACCTCAGAAGTACATAAACCTTGTGAAAGCTCTTTACTCGAACACTACTAGTCGGGTCAGGGCTTATGACGAATTGTCATCCGCTTTTGCAACCTCAAGTGGTGTCCGTCAAGGCTGTCCACTTTCTTCACTTTTGTTTAACTTCATCATAGACCTACTGATGGAAATAACGCTCTCATCGACTGAATTCTCGGGGATTGATCTCCTACCAGGAGGTTCACTTATTGACTTAGAATACGCAGATGACATGGTCCTGTTTGGTGAAGACGCTGATGAAATGCAGAGTCTTTTGGTAGCACTGAGCAACAATGCCAGAATGTTTGGGATGCGCTTCTCTCCCTCTAAATGCAAGTTGTTGCTTCAGGACTGGTCTGCGTCAACACCTGAACTAAGGATAGGGAGTGAAGTAGTCGAACGCGTTGACTACTTCACTTATCTTGGAAGTCTGATCAGCCCTGATGGGTTGGTGTCTGACGAAATCTCAGCGCGGATTCGAAAAGCTCGTTTGGCCTTTGCCAACTTACGTCACCTATGGCGAAGAAGAGATATCCGTCTATCAATTAAGGGACGAGTAAACTGCGCGGCAGTTCGTTCCGTTCTACTATACGGCTGCGAAACATGGCCTTTAAGAGTAGAAGATACTCGTAAGTTACTAGTATTTGACCACAGGTGCCTTGGAAATATTGCTCGCATCTGCTGGGATCACCGGGTAAGTAATCGTGAGGTTAGATGTAGGGTATTAGGGAATGATGGTAAATCAGTTGATGAGGTTATGAATATTCATCGACTGGGATGGTTAGGCCACGTGTTGCGTATGCCTGAACACCGATTACCACGACGCACAATGCTCACCGGTGTTAGGATAATTGGAAGAAAGTTAGGGGCGGCCAAACCAAAACGTGGCATCAGTGCTTGAAGTCACTAACTTCTGGTTTGAGCCATGTTGGAAGATTCAGACTGCCTGGTTGGGGTCCGCGTGACTATCGTAACCAATGTTTGGAGACTCTTGGTGACATGGCTCAGAATCGATCACAATGGCGTCGGTGTATACACTCTGTCTTCCTATAAATTAAGAGATTAAAATCACTTCAAATCTTTCTTCCTAGGAACTAATTCTTTCTTCCTGTACTATCTCCTTATACAAAATCTTTCTTCTATATATTACCACCATTGAATCAACTACTTCTATGAATCCGGTGTTCATCCTGCTGTGCTAATGCGGTATGGCAACTTGGACCGATGCATATATGTGCCTGGTCCTATGTTGCAGCTAACTGATTGACTGACCAGGTGCCATGTTGCGACTGACTGGCTGATTGACACTGTTCATATAACTTAATAATAATAATAATAATAATAATAATAATAATAATAATAATAATAAAGGGAGTTTACCATTATTATATAAATTCTGTACATCTCGTAATTGTTTCAGACTGACAGATCGACGGAAGATTCCTTCAGTTGTTAAACCTAAAAGAGTTAACAGAAAAAAACGCTTATATTTTGTGTTAGTTGACACGTAAAAAAGTATATCTGAAATATTGATGGAATTGATGATCCCTGTGGGATTTGAGTCTAGGTCATTCTGAGACGCTGTCACTGAACTATTCGAAGTACGACTGACCTGCTATGGAGATGAGATCTCTACATTGCTTGATCATCGAGCAGTGGCCAATATCATATTTATCTGGTCTTTTAGTGCTAATCCAGTGCTATAGACTAACTAAAATTCGCTATGTAATCTACCGAAATTCCTAAACCCTCTTACAGTTTTGAAAATCGTGCCTTGAAGAAAAACATGCTAAACTGCTCTAATTCATTTTATATTGTTTGTTTGAATCTTCTCATTGATGTTTAGGACTGCAATTGATCAGACTCTTATTGGCATGTGTGTAGCTAAGTGGATATCGCGATGGCATTTGAAGTGAATGGTACTGGGTTCGAGTTCCGGAGTTGACATCAAATCTGGGATGCAGGTACATCCAGCTGACGAGTTCCAGAAAGAACGAAACACACATCCTGGATTCCACTGCCAGCCACCATCCATTTTCGCTTATACTGAACTGCCGGTATACAGTATGGTATAAGGTCTTGAGACTGTTAGTTAACAATTAAATTATTAATCTCAATGTTGATATTAATTATTCTATCTTGACTATTTTGGTTTCATTTAATTATTTCTCCTATTGTGCTTATGCACACCATATAAGCACATTTATACTCGATTATGTGTTATTTATGGATGATTGGTAATCCTTTTGATCGAGGAATTTATTAGCAGTAGTGCAATGTATCTAATGTGTTTGATTTCAAATGAAAGCAGACTACAAAAACTAAAATCTTCGAGTTTTGATCATTTTTTCTACAGCATAACTTAAAGGTCAGTTCATGATGTAGACTACCAATTCAACAATCTGAATAACTCACCCATACTTAATATAGCTGTTATAGCCATATCTACTCTATTGTGTCCGCATGAATTATGGGGATTCTGAAGAGCAAACGTGAACTCACCTTGTTATCCCGCATTTATTAATATTTTATTCTAAGTATGTAAAAAGCAAAAGTATAATATGCATCTTTTATTTTCATTAATAAGAAAATCAAAGTAACACATACCACGATCGCGTAGATAATCAATAGTATCTTCAAAGACAATAGGAATAGGACGACCGCCGTTATTCATTTTGATGCTATTTTAAGAGAGAAGAAAGGACAATTTTTCAATCCAAAGTTTATACTCTAATTGAAATCAAAACTTTGTTCAAGCTATGAAGAACATAATATACAATAATAAGCATATATATATATATATATATATATATATATATATATATATATATATATATATTTACGTTTCCGGAGTTTCAGTGAGAAGCCGTGACCAGCGGAACTAAACCGAGTTCGATGAGAGAAAAGTAGCAACTGAAGAGCATGCCAGATGGTTGCGCAATGTCATGAAGTGCTTGAAGTTAGATATGTACACCACTGGATCCCAGCACAGTGGTCTAGAGCAAGATCGAAGATCCTGCGTTTGATTTCTGGTTGCAGGATTGTAAATGCGCACTACCGAGGAGTCTCATACTAGTATAAGACGGTTGTCTTGCGCTCTCAGGATTCTAATGGTTATCTAACTTGAATTGACTCGTGATTTAAATGAAATCCAGTAATCTCCACAATTTAGTACTAATATATATTTAAGCATCACATACTTACAATTGTAGACTAACATTAAATTGTTGTTGAGGATCTGGAGTAACATCTTTGCACTGTTCTTCATATACACCAGAGAACACTGAAGCAGCATCTGGCAGCGATGGTATATAAGGTGTGGATACTCGAGCAGCAGAACTGAAATAATATAGGATAACATGAATATTATTTAATGTTGTGTCAGAATTTTAATATACCATTTGAGACAGACATGCATGAACTCTAGTCCCCACAAATTAATTAACTTATTTTACTAAGTAAGCATTTATGTGCTCGCTAATGATCTAGTGCTTATGTGAGGGTTAATGATATAGTCCGGTCGCTCAAAATGAAAAAGAGGTGGAAGAGTTCGAACATGGACCGTAGTGACTGAATGGGAAATCCCTTTACTCAGTCACACGCGACGTAGAACCTGACATATTCATTGGTTCAAATTACCATACCACATTATGATGCTCGGTGTTCGAGACTGATGCTAATACACAAACTTCTTATTTTCAAGCCCCTAACCAGGTAGTGAGCGAGAAGGCTAAGTGCGAAGAACGGAGTTCATTAGCCTAAACTGATTCACATGCAAAAGCACACCTCAGAGAATCAAATTTCATGGCCGATCACATCTAATTGCCATTTGGAGGTTTTTGATTGGCCAACTATGTTACACTGTCATCAGCATGACTGAGTAAAGTGTGTAATTAAATGATAGGCTGGGCGAGTATAGAGTTATAGCACGTTATCTCATGATCAAAAGGTGAGACATTATAAAAGACACGCGCTATTGAAAGGAATATGTCTGGCACCTACTAAAGATCTCAGCATACACGTCCAGTTGGTCAAAACGACAATCGTATCCGTAATAATAATTTGTGCATATTACAATTTAGTGTGGCAATCAAATTTTCCTACCAATTTCAATCTTCTCTTTTGCAGAGTGGATTTGGTGCATTGTAGGAAGCCTATGTCATAAGTGAATCGAACGGCAATACACAAAATAATTATTGACGCCAGAGCTTTTTACTGTGACCTGCGTATTAAAGCTGTATGAAATGTAACCACGGTGAAGATCCTCAAACCTTAAGTTGATACTTTTAGTCTTTCCGTTTTCTAACAGAACTGTCTGACATGATAGAAGTGAAAGGAACGAGTGTTCTATCTAATGTAGCTCTATCAAGTCATCGTGATAGGCAAGTCCGATTACCACATTAATGTAGCAGCTACAGTTGAGTTCATATAAGAGATTGTAATAAATAAAATGGTGAATTAGTGTTTAAATGAAAAAATATCTACATAAGAATGGGGAAATTATACAATTGTAGTAAGGGTTTTATCAATTACTCACTACAGTACAACTGGTTCCCAAATATTTTATTAATTTGATCAAGATAACTCATGGGCACATCCAGGCTATTAATGAGTAATGTCGAGCAATAAATGCAATGAGAGGAGCAGAATTGAAATAATAAATTTTATTGACAATTTCAAGTATTAAATGTGACTGTGTGTATTGGATATCTAATAATCAAGAATTTAGTTTTAATTCTAGTGGATTGTGAACGGTCACACAAGTACATTAACGTCGCAACTATTCTTAAAAACTAAAACTAAAAACACGCATTACTCCATGACGACTAACCAACATTACTACTCATTTTAGAAAATCAATAACCACATCCATACCCTAGTAAAAGAACCACGAAAAGCACAAACATTTCTAACAGTTTACGAAAACAAAAGGCTTTGAAAAGTGAATATCCCTTGAATATTGAAAGAGTACATAGATCATTGAAATAAAAAATTTATCGCTCAAAAACCAATGAAACTTAATTGTATATAACGATGATTTTTACGTATTTTAAGAGTTTTTTAGAAAGTTTATAATCAGGCCTGTTGAGCTTTAAGTTTTTGATATTTCGCTACTTGGAAATCCACCAATTCGAGCAGATCAATTTCTTAGACTTCTCTTTTATGCTCAAATTCTCCGAAATGTCCGTAGAATATGGCGGTGATTTACAGGATTAAACAATAGCATTTATTTATAAGCAAAGATGGATGATGGCCAGTAGTGGAATCCGCGATGTGCATTTCGTCCCATTCGGGACTCGTCAGTTGGATGTACTTGCATCCCAGAGTTGACGTTAACTCTGGAACTCGAACCTAGTACCGTTCGCTTCAAATGCCATCACATTAACCACTTAGCTACTGAGTCGTGATAGCCATTAGCTTGTGTAATGGGGTGAAGTTTAAATTCACTAGTTGTTTAGGACTGCAACTGACTTGTCGCTTATTGGCATATGTGCATCCTATGCGGATTGCCTTAAGTCCCAAGCTTTATAAGCTAAGATGGATGGTGGCGTTTGAAGCGAACAGTACTGGGATGCAGGTACATCCAACTGACGAGTCCCAAATAGGACGAAACGCGCGTACTGGATTCCACTACCAGCCACTATCCATCTTTGCTTATGAAGCTTGTGATTTAAGGTAATATCGAGGCGATCCGCACAGGATGCACATATGCCAATAAGAGATTGATCGATTGCAGTCCTAAACAACAATGGGAAGATACAACCAAACAACACCAAGTAAATTTAATAGTATTTATTATTCAGGTTAGTGTTTACTTTGAACCAACAAGCAAATAAATGAACTCATTATTGACGTAAGTTTTAATTAGAATCTGTGTAATTGTTTCATGAGACATTGGTTTAATGTCATTTTCACTATATGACTGAACAATTTAAAAATGTTATTAATCCTGAGCGCTATATGAACGTATCTTCTATAACGCTTTATGCAATGTGAATAACTAAGGTGATATTGCTTTCAGAAAGTCAATCACTGCCAAATGAAGATGTGATAACATTCCATGAATTCATTGACTGTTAGAACGAGCAATGTAAGTGGGCATGTAGGTAAAGACTACCTAATAGGGTGATCGTGATTGTCGTAACCAATAATCTGGAGATATTGAGTGGAATAGCTCAAACTCAATCACAAAGGCGTAGGTCTAATTACGAGCTTTTATTTTCTTTTACATTTAGAGGTTTAAAAATTATTCCTGTTAAAATCCTTAACTGACATGTGCTTGATACTGAAAACAGTGATTGATAGGCATAACGTAAAATGATCTTAAAGAAAAAAATGTTTTACATTTTTGTTAAGAAAGCAATAAATTCACATTTAATAATCTAATTAGTTAATTATTTAATTAGCAATAACTGGCTTACTCTTTTTGAATTTTTGGAATAGATCTTGGTGGTAGATTTTTTATAACGGATTTATCATAGCTTTAATGAATGAATAAAACAAAGCAAACTTATCACAATAAAAACAATGATATTATTAATAATTAGTTAATTAATTAATAAGATATAACACCAACCAATAAAAAGAAAGGAATTACAAATAGCGAAAAATGAATTCCATTTTTCACGTAGATTAAAACATTCAATGAAAAGATTTAATTTTAGAGGCATTATTCTCCTTCAAGCTGTAAAATCACATTTACATGACACATTTAATTGATAAACAAAGAAGAATTAATGCAGATGATAAGGCACGAATTGGAAGGATTTCTACAATTGAAGAATAAATGGAACTCGAAATAATTACCAGTCAACAATAAAGTCATAATTTTTAATACGAATTTTAAGACAGTTCTATTGTATGGAGTTGGAGTTATGGAGAACTACTACAATCATCATCAAAAAGGTAAAGGCATTTGTAAACAGTTGTCTATACAAGAAACTTCAGATTCGTTGGCCAGACACTATCAGCAACGAACTACTGTGACAGAGAAAAAACCAGCTTCTAGATGAAGGAGAAATTAGGGAAAGATAGGGAGCACACTGAGGAAATAATCAAACTGCATCACGAAGCAAGCTCTATTTGGATACCAGAAGGAAAAGGATAAAAGGCAGACCAAAGAACACATTGCGCCAGGAATCGAAGGTAGACATCAAAACGAAGAATAGCACTTTGATAACACTTTGAATGGAGACCGTAACAGAGCTGATCGGATATCCCTGGTCGGTGGCCCATGCTCCACGAATGATAACAGGCGTAATGAAATAAATTTAATTGGAAACAAAACAGTTAGCATGCAGAAGTTATCATCATAACTACAAAGGAGATGGCAATAACTGTGTGATGGCAGAGAGAAAGGGAGAGACCATGAATGAGGGGAGTTAAAGGGTTTGGTTTCGCAACCAAAGAACCACAAGTTCATACACCGATCCAGCAGACTTTTCAGTTTGAAAAGCTTGTTCACGGCAAACACAGACAAATGTGTAGTTTCAAGCAAACTGTAAGAATACATACCTGATAAATGTGTAACATTATTTATCTTATGGAATAATGAATGGAATATGAATTCAGAAAAATAAAGAGAATTAAGACTATATGATATGATTATTTATTATTTATTTATTTTAACACATAAGTATAGGTACAGGGAGGCACCAAATACATATGCGCCACACAAATCTCAATTGATTTGTGTGAGGGCTGTGATACTGCCCGGGTGCCCGAACCGAAGCAGGATATGATATGAAAAGAACATAAACATCATGAAAATGATACGACAAAATGTAAAGGTGGATTGTGGTTAGCAGTGGGGACTCGACAAGCAAGAGTACATGCATCCTGGTGTTGATGTCTAACCCCCGTCTCAAACCCATTAACCTTTAGCTCCGAACACCCAAGGCATAAAATACTCAAACCACTACATATAAATAAGACACAATGTTGGCCAGAGACATGGTCTGAGTTTATGCCTATAGCATTTATTCAAAAAATAAATTAAGGAATCATATAAACCCCTAGTGAATATAAAGTTTAAGGTTTATAATGTGAATAGATATGGGTTTCGCAGTTTAAAATAATCTCATGTGAACATATTTCACAATTGTTTGATAAACTGTAAGACAAAATGGACATTAAGACTACTTATCTATAACTAGTGGGAGAAAGACATCATTGGCTACTGAGCATAAATTGAAAGAAATAGCTTACTATTTATATTATATCGTAGTGAAGATTAAAGTACGGGTAACTTCTGAGAACTATTAATGGACTAATATTATCTATATATTCTTATTGTATAACTATTCAGTAACTAGATTGCATATATCTATATTCATCTTATTATAAGCTTTATTTTGATCCATAGACTATTATTATATGATTTACTATTCTCAAGTTATGTTCAGTTTATTAATTAGTCTCCCAAGTTCACAGCCATTATTTAGCTTGATCTTGTATAAATGTTATTTCCTATTTTATGGTGTAATGCTGTCTGTTTGGCTGATATATAAACCGAGTATGTTTGAAATAAATGATTCGCATAGTGGAAGCTGTTATTAGCGTTCTGGACTCAACTGAAAAGGCTAGGAAAATAAAGGATCAATAAGGACGCTAGGTTGCTCATACCGGTCGAATGTTACTAGTTTGACACAGTACTAAGATTGTATAAGCCGTAATTCGATTGGCGAGTAAATCACATGATAACTATCCGGCCTTAAAGCCACAAAAATTTGACATGTGACTTGCTTTCTGTCACTGGTTTCTACTCTGAACTCACTGAGTGCAGACTTCTTACAATTGCATCGAGTGAGGTACTGCCTAGCGTATACTCTGGCTCTCTATTTCGGTCGTAAATTGGTATTCGGTATGTAATCCAGTCTGTGCATATCGTATCAATCGATCATTCAGTTAAGTGGTAGCAAGATATCAGTCACTAGTCGTGTTATCGTATTATAGTAAGAAATTGTAGAAAACAGAAAATATTTTTATTCGGTCAATAAATATCAGTTAAATTATGTATTAACTAACCAGACATTCAGAAATAACAGAATGATCTAAGATAACGAAAAGAAAGTAGATGCTTTAATTTTTCTCCCCAAATAGAACTAAGTTTTTCATGTGTTCAGAGATGTGCTCAAACAAGAAGAGCAAATGCTAAGTACAGTTTCACTTCACAGGAGCAGGTGAATAATAGAGAACAGACCATAAATTAAAACAATTTTGCCATTACCAACTTGAACTTGAAGTTTCTCTTAACGGTATGTTTTATAATGAATAGTGGTAGGAATGACAATGGATGTTAGCAAAAATTAATGAATTAACAGGCTTATTTTATTTAATTATTTATCATTATCTAGTAGGAACTTTGACAAATCATCTAGTTCCTATCAACTGGAAAACTAAGGTATAGACTAACAATATGTAGGTCTATTTTTAGTGTCAGCAACATTTATTGACAAAAAATACGATTATATTTAAGTTCAAATTAAACAATATGGTTTTTAATGCAGTTTTATTTTCTGACTTGGATGGTTTAATTGTGAAGCATTCATTATTCTTCCGAGCAACATCATCAGCACAAACTTCAGGTAGAAGTTTGTGCTCGACGATCAAGCCATTCAGTTCAGAGAGCAAAACTCGACCTAAATCATCCACCTGAGCTACAAATCTCCACCACGTCATATATGTAAATCACATATCTTTATACCATAGAACGAAAATGTCGATAAATATTTCAAAGACAACAATTTTAATAAATAAGATTTCTCTCAGTGTAAGTATGTGATTTAAGTTCAATAGTAAGCGAAAATGGCCATGTTTACTTAAATCGACAAATTCACAATGAATGTGATGAAGAAGAGTACCAATATAAAAACACTTACTTTAAAACACGTTGTGGTATTGGCAATTGATCAACGAATAAAGTTTCTTCTAATTCGGATAATGTTTCAGCATAAACCACTTTATTTGACATTTTTGAACTGAAATATTCATTTTTTAAATTTGTTTGAAGGGAGAGAAAAGACAGAAAAGTTGTGAACAAGATAGAGATTAAAGTTATTAGCTGGTCAAGTGCATATAATACTGATAATAACCAATTTTTTCAGATAAAATCAATTCGACAGTTATATTCATAACATGCTATAAGATATTATTTCATTTGTCAGTGAATGAATATTTCTGTTGATGATGCTAAGGGCCGTAACCGATCGATAATCTCTTTTGGAATATGTACATCCTTAGCGGACTGTCCCGATTATCATTAACCTTAAGTAAAGTTTGATACTGAATAACAGTAGGATCCAGGACGCGCGTTCGGTCTTACTTAAGACTCGTCGGTTGTATGTACCTGCACCCTAGTGTCGATTTTTATTTCAGGATAGGACAGTTAAGATGAGATTGTCCATAAGATTATAAGTTTAAATGTATCGGCTTAAAAGCATATTATTATTAGTTAGCCTTCGTACATAATTTTTTATCAGTGTATCAATACTAACTCGAGATCACTGGACAGTGAATAGCTTCTTCATAATATTAAACTTCTAAGTGGTGTGCACCGACGACCTCACTAAGGTTCAGAATCTATACCTAAAGATCTTTTGGTGAGTATTTAACCTTTAGACTACTTAGATGAAATCCACTGGCTTGCTTTCTAACACTCATTAATTCATGACTAGAACTAACTATAATTTAAACTAATCTTTACAAAACCTATTTAAGAAAACCGGTCTTTGCAAATATCACATAGGTCTGAAATAATTAGGCACATAACAGATACGTAGTATATATTATCCACAAATTATAGCACGAAGTGTAAAAAACATAACTATCACGATAGGGGTGTTTATTATACTTATGACTTTGGATAAGGCATCATTTAATAATGCCTATACGCTAGTGTAGACGATAACATTGGTGGATGACAGGTAGGTAAAAAATGTTAATTTTAACAAACTGTGAATTTGATCAGCACGCGCGTTTCGTAGTGTTAGGAGTCTAAAAATATTCCTTGAAAGTCAGTCAGTCAAAAGCAACATAAAACTTGGTACAGGTATATATTGGTTCAAGTTGCCATACCCTATTAGTATAGAGAGGTGAAACTGTCAGACCAAATCCCGGAGTGGTAGAGGTAATAACAGTATTGGTGGTACTAGAAAAAATTAGGCAACAAAGATACAAATCGAGGAAATAAAACTCAGTGGAATAAAAAAAAATCAATGATCGATTCCGAAACTTAGAATTTAAGAGCAAACGAAAAGTGGATACATCTAGGCCACTACAAACGATTGTGAGCCACGTCATTTAGAGTCTCTAACTATTGGTTACGATAATCAGGTGGACACCAAACAGAGAGTCTAAACCATATATGTTTATTTGAACACAAAAATATTGGTACAAAGGTGCACCATATATATATGCGCCATACAATAATAATGAGAATGTGAAGATATAAAGAATGTAAGGTGCGTAAAAAGAAGTACAACAATGAACAGAAATTAGTTTATGATACTGAAATAACAATAATGGGAGGGGCAGTTCAACTGGCAAAATACAACCACAAAGAATTCTTCCACTTAAAGAGATTGCGTCATTTTTATGAAGAAAGTAAAAAAAAGTTACAGCAGGATCGCCACTGGCTTCTGTTCTGAGCCCTATCTGATAACGTATCCAGCCACTGTATCGCACCATCTCTAGGACTCCAACCAGGGAGTCGTGAAGGACCAACAGAAGCCAGCTTTCTTTCATACCACGACATGTCATACACTAACCACCTCTCAGCTTTTTTCAACTAGTCCCAGAGTGGGTAAATCTTGCACGAAGTGGAATTCTCTGAGACGACATTCGCAGGACATGTTCGAGCCACCGAAGTCGATGTTTCAAGATAGTGACACTAACTGAATTATCGTCTCTGTGCCCGAACACACGATGCTGAACCTCTGCATTGCTAACAAGGTGTTGCTACTGGATGTCAGTAATCCTTCGGAGACAACGATGATCAAACACAGAGTCGTTTAACATCCCCAACTCGGAAACCAGGTTTCACAAGCATAGAGCAAAACTGCCCTCACCAACGCGTCGTTGACCCGATCTTTTACAGCCAGACTAACATCACAACGGCACCAAAGATGGCCCGGATCGGCATGAGCCGCTCTGGCTTTCACTATACGTGAACTGATCTCATCACTCACGCCACCACCAGCACTTATGCAGCTACCCAGATATACGAACTTCTCGACTGCTTCTATTTGCTCACTACCCAGGGTGAGTGTAGGATCAGGGTCCTGCCAATCTTGTAAAAGTACTTTGCACTTAGAAGGTGAAAAGCAAATACCACACCTACGGACACTAATTGCCAACTGATTACGTGCGGATTGCATGGCTTGGGTATTATCGCACAGTAAGACAATATCATCCGCATATTCAAGGTCGAGGAGTCTTTCTCCGGGCAACAGATCCACGCCGCCATTACTTACATCCATCAGAGCTGTTTCCAGAACGTCGTCGACAGCAAAGTTGAAGAGGAACGGTGAGGTTGGGCAACCCTGCCTAACCCCACTGCTTAAATAGAACAATGGAGAGAGGTGGTTGTATGTCCTGAGGTGTTTGTATATAGGGCATTTAAGATGTTAATAAACTTCTCAGACACACGCTTCTTCAATAGACAATCCCAGAGAACGGTCCTGTCCAACGAACCGAAGGCAGCCCTGACGTCAAGAAACGCTACGATTGTTGGCCTGCGACAGGTATGACGGTGTTCTAACATTTGGCGGAGGGTGAATATATGATCAATACATCCTCGACCAGAACGAAAACCAGCCTGCTCCTCGCGAGTCAATCATTCTTGGGTTTTAAAAAATCTACCAAGAATGACGGAAATAGACTTATCCCTCGATAGTTCTTGCATAGGTGATGTGAACCCTTTTTAAAGATATGGACGTTTATTGACTCATTCCATGATTTTGGAACACTTTCTAACTCCCGAACCTTTGTAAACAACGCAGTCAGTTCCTTAACCAGAAGGCCGCTACCATCTTTAAAACGGGCCAGAGTTAAGTCATTTGCACCCAGCGATTTGTAGCGCTTCAAGAGTTCATATTCTTTGCGGACCTCCGCCTCACTTGATGGATCAGTCGTCATGGGCCATAGAGGGCAGGACAGTCAGACCGATGTTGCCGGAGCAGCAGATCAGTTGAACTGCTCCTCGAAAACTCCGCCAATTGTCCAAGACGTCGTTTGATGTTGGTGATTGGCATCCCGTCATCTTCACAGATTGTTTGGCTTACACCAAACTTCTTGCTACCAGTGGCACGGATGATTTGCAAGAGCTTCCAGTGGTTACAAGATGCGGTTGCTGCTTCCAACACATTGGCGCGCTCCGACCAGGTTGTGCTTTCAAATAAATGTCTAATCCACAAGGTAGTTGAGCAACGTCCGTAGATGCAGTCACATGGTTGTCGGTGACCAATAATTGGTTCATACGCCATTTGTTCCCTCAGGATCCTGGAGCTCATGTGCATCATTGGTTTGTAATCAGGGTTTTCCAACTATCCTCGGTGGACCCTCCATATCTACCAAACCCGGTTAAAGCGCCGGACATTCGCTTTTCGTCCTCTCAATTTCGTAAACAAAACCCCACCGCGTGGCCGATTGAGAGCATATCGAGAGGGAGAGCTGAATCTCCCCACCCTACCTACATGGATCAATCCAAGTGTTAATGACTTTATGCAAGACGTCTTGTAGACTCCCTGCAAAGGCTAAAAACATTCTATTCAGTGTATTGAATAGAAGCTTCTAATAAACAACTAGAAAAATTTAGAATCATGTATCACGTTTTAATTGGACAATTACTCATATTGTTACTATACTATGTTTCCAGAGGATCGCAGTCATCTGAAAACTGATAAAAGTAAAGCCTTACTCAAATTCTGCACCTTTTCTCTATTTTTCGAGTTCAAGTATAGAAATAATCTAAGGTTATAGAAAGCAATTAGGAAGTTAGTGACAAGCACTAAGATTAATTATTTAGTAGTAAGATAATAATTGATAAGAAAAATAATTCAGTTTTTATTTATCCTATATCTTTCAGACTGAATAATTCAAGTTTAAATTAGGCAGAGCAGTGTTCGAATCAGAAATCGAATGGTCAAAACTTGAGTATCTGTACTCCTAAAACCATGACTTTGAAAAACAAGATATGTCATAAATATGTATATACACGTAATTCACGTCATTCATCATCCATCATACCTGATGGAGAAACTCTGAAAGATGTGGAATCCTTCACGTACCTGGGAAGCATCATCGATGAGCGAGGATCGGATGCAGACGTAAAGGCGAGGATTGGCAAAGCAAGGACAGCATTCCTACAACTGAAGAATATATGGAACTCAAAACAACTGTCAACCAATATCAAAGTCAGAATCCTCAATACAAACGTCAAGGCAGTTATACTGTACAGAGCTGAAACTTGGAGAACTACTACAACCATCATCAACGAGGTGCAAGTATTTATAAATAGTTGTCTACACAAGATACTCAACATCCATTGGCCGGATACCATCAACAACAGCCTTCTGTGGGAGAGAACAAACCGGCTTCCAGCCGAGGAGGGAATCAGGAAAAGACGATAGAAATGGATGGGACAAACATTACGCAAATCATCAAAATGCATCACGAGGCAAGTCCTAACTTGGAATCGTGAAGGGAAGCGGAAAAGAGAAAGGCCAACGAACACATTACGTCGGGAAATAGAAGCAGATATGAAAAGCATGAATAACGACTGGACGGATTTCCGTCTCCGGCGGTAAGGCCCTTTGAAGAACAGAGCCTTCACATTAAAAACCTCCCACAAAAAGGCCGTGCGCGACCGGCCTCAAGCAGTTGTCCCTTGGGCTCTGCGGTCACGCTCCCAGGTCGTTAAGATCAACACTAATCCGATTTCCTTTTCAGGTTCCTCAAGAAATACCCTTCCACGGTGAGGGCAGCCTGGAAGTGACATCAGCCCTCATACCCGTAACAGCACACGAGACCAAGTTGGTCACATTCAAATCCTTCCTACACCACTTAATAACTCTCTTATCTCCACGACTAACCCTTCTCACGTCCCTTTATCACCTCGCAGCGCTAGTGCGAACGATTCAAGTACGCGGAACTTTATTCCTGGTCTCCTGAAACCACGCTGTAAACTACACGTAGTAGCTTTCAACGTCCGAACACTGTGCCAAATATGACAACAGGCCTCCTTAGCTAGGACTTTAGAATCCCGCGCCATCGATGTGTGCTGCGTCTCCGAAACGCGCATACAGGATCCGAGTAGTGTCATTCATTTGACCTCATCATATCAAAGTAACGAACCAACTCGATTTACACTTCGTGTATCTGGAAGCCCTGATGTTGCTTCCCGTGGCCTCGCTGGCGTAGGTATAGCATTGAGTCCTAGGGCAGAACTAGCTCTCCTAGAATGGATCCCAGTAGACAGTCGTTTGTGCGCTGTCCGACTAAACGGAACAGTAAGGACTCAGAAAGATGGGGACAATGGTCGTCACCTTTGCCTACTCTCCTACTGGCTGAAGCTCATATGATGTAAAAGATGAGTTTTACAGAAAGCTTTGCGACCTTCTCCAAGAAGTTAGGCGCTCCAATGTAGTAATAGTGGCTGGTGACTTTAATGCTCAAGTAAGTAAACTAGGAGAACTGTCATCAGAACTGATTACCTCAAGTGGTGTTCGTCAGGGCTGTCCACTTTCTCCATTCTTAACTTTGTCGTTGATGCGCTTTTAGAGATAACACTTTTCTCATCTAAATTTCTAGGAGTTGAACTCGTTATGTTTGAAGCGATTATGAGTTCACCTAGTCCAGGAACGCAACAAAGACTCTGTGACCAAAGACCAAGAAGGTAGCTATTCTGATGCATCCCAGTCCCGCTAACTAGAGAGAGAAGTTCAAGTTCGAAAAGGGGAAATATATACCGCAAGCAGCATTGCTCGTCTATCCTGGAACTGCCGAGTAACTCAGTTGTTAGGAAACGGGTAAAGATGGCAAATAAATTGAAGTAGTGAAACTTCACCAGTTGAGATAACTGGGACGCGTGTTACGTATGCCCAACCAACGACTGCCCCGACATGCGATATTTTATGGTGTAGGAGTAGGTTGGAGGAAAGCTAGGTGCGGCTAGACCAAAACATGGCACAAATCCATGAAGTCTCTGACAAGCGGACTGAGCCATGTTGGTAGATGTAGACTACCTGGTTGGGGTCCGCGAGACGATAGCAACCGATGGTTAGAGACCATGAATAACATGGCTCAAAATCGTTTGCAATGGCGCAGGGGCATCCACTCTTTGTGCTCTCCTAAATTCTAATCTTCTGAATTTTTCATGTCATTTTTTCTCTCTTTCCAAGTTTATTTCACTTGAATAACATCTTCAAATTCTAATCTTTCCAATTACTGCTTATACTTTTACTACCTCTACCACTACGGGATTTGAATTGGCAATTGTATCTCTGTACTAACCAGTTTCTAGATGAAGGAGAAATTAGGGAAAGATAGGGAGCACACTGAGAAAATAATCAAACTGCATCACGAAGCAAGCTCTATTTGGATACCAGAAGGAAAAGGATAAAAGGCAGACCAAAGAACACATTGCGCCAGGAATCGAAGGTAGACATCAAAACGAAGAATAGCACTTTGATAACACTTTGAATGGAGACCGTAACAGAGCTGATCAGATATTCCTGGTCAGTGACCCATGCTCCACGAGGGATAACAGGCGCGACTAAGTAAGTATTGACGGTTATAATTTTACTGTCATTTATTTACCGCTTATACTTTTCAATAACATAAACAGTAAACAATCGTATGTTCCTCTTTTTTAATAAAATCAACCCGAAAATCAATCACATAATACATCGACATTAGTTAAAAAATAATTTTTATAACAAGGAATATGCATAGATATATTAACCAACGAACAAATAGACATAATATAATCCTACCTGATAAATGGTCTGAAAAGAGTCCATAAAATTTTTATACCAGTAGTAGGATGTACTATGTAAAGTGTTTTCAAATTTTTACGAAAACTGGAGAGAGAGAAAAGACAATAATAAACTAATTTCAAATAAATTATATGGATCTGATAACGTCGACCTGATACTGATGTTATGAAATATGGGACAAAAGATGACCATTAACTTAATTAATTAATTAGGGTATTTTATTTTCAAATATTACGTGTTGTATTTTTGAACTCGTCCAGGACTAATTTTTTTAGTAATACAGTTTTGATGTAATTAATCCCTAATGCAATCATTTTATATAATTCAGCAATGTCATAAAGGGTACTCTCTTCTACTGACAAAGTAAATATCAATGAATTAAAGGGAATATATCACCATTCAATGGATAGTTGGATAAGTGACATGCTAATCTGATTATATGTGACTAGTAGGCATAAATTGCAATATTACATTGGGTTACGGTTTATTATTTTTGAGAGGAAGTGATAACAAGGAATTAAAAATATATATGAGACAGAAGTCTTAACTGTATAACTTCCAAGCTATGGGATTAGCATTAAATTCAACGTCAAGAACTTCGAACAATATTTACCAACATCCAGATGATGAGTTCCAAATAGGACGAAACGCGTGTTGTGGATTCCACTACTAGCTAAATTCTATCTATTCTATATCCATGGAATAACATTTCCTGCCATTATTAAGATATATCTCAGTAATCTACCAGACCAATAATAACTACTCAGAGGGAGAAGTAAGAAGGGATTCAGAAATAGCCGAATAAAACAAAAATGTACAACTAATAAGGCCTTCTGTTAGTAAAATGAAACATGTAAAGTATTTATAATAGTGATGTCATTAGTAAATCAAGATTAAGTGATCTGAGATAAATAAAGCAAGAACAAATATTGATGCAGAATAGTATGAATTCATAATATTATCACATATTTGGTTGTAAGCAGCTGACGAGAAACCTCGAAATATTATGAATTCATACTATTCTGCATCAATATTTGTTCTTGCTTTATTTAAATTCATAAAGGGAACTAACTGCACGATCTGAGATAGTTGACGACATGATTTGAACCTTCAATTTACTACTATATCTTTAAAGATATTGATTAACTATGAACCAAGCCTAATTTTTTCTCTGTTCTATGAGCTCATCGGATTACTACTACTAAATGATCTAAAGATAGCGAACTCGTAAACAATGAAAGTCATAGGTTTGGGCTATGGAGAGAACAATGGCACACTAGAGAGGAGCACCATTTTAAGATCCAATAGTTATTCAGTGCTCCCTGATTGTAAAAGTTCTATTGTTGCTCTCAATCGAAAATAAAAACCAACTCCAACGTAAACTAATCTACAAAAATCTCCTAACCATAGATATACCGAATTATTCACCATATTTATCCGATTTCAAATGAAAATAGGCATCGTTTATAGTCTATCAAAAGTGAGAAAATAACGATGAAATGATGTTGGTCATTCAATAATAAAATAATGAGCAATTTACTTGCGCCCAAATGTTCTATAAGCTTGAACAAGCCATTTAAATTTCGGTCGATTTTTGTTAGTAAGTCCGAAGTGGAAGTAAATTAGGACGTAATCAATACTGACATATTGTTCCAATGTTTTAGTAATATACCTAAAATAGTAATTATATATATATATATATATATATATATATATATATATGGAAAATTAACATAGATTATTAGAATAAGTGCAGGTATGAAAGAATAAGTAAATTGTTTGACATTTCAAGTTTTAAAAGGTAACAAGAATAATAATCCAATATCAAGAGAATTACCACACATTAGAAACAAAGTTGTTGTTAATATTATGAATAGATTATCCCACAAGTACTGAGATACTCATGTGGTGTATGCCACTTATGTTGACAGATATAAGTAGTACGTAACACTAATCGGAAGTGGACTGTCTGCGAGCAGAAGATTAAGAAAGTTGAAATGAAGAGAAGAGAGAAGGAAACTGAAAGCAATCAAGATAATAACAGGAATGAAGGAACAATGAAGCATGTAAGAGACAATTCAAAGATGTGCAAATGATGTATGATTTCTACATTGTACTAAGCCGCTGTGTGATTAAGCATTAAAAAATAAATTGGTTTTCTCCGCCTGAGTTCTCGTTCACTACACTTATAAGCAATTTATATTGATCAACAGGAGTTAACTGTTCAGGTCTAGTAAACTAACAAAGGCAAATTACCGGTTATTTCAAAGGTTAATATGCACTGTTCTCAGGTCAGTCATATCTAGCGTAAAGCCTGACAATTATGTAAGTTGTGTTGTGAATGAAGGTTTTGTGGGAAAGACAAATTTATTATTTTATGCTATGTTACACAATGTTAATATTTTTCCAAAAGTCACAAGACACGGTTTATTTGATAAAAGAATTTGACTAATTTTTAAACAATGTAGCGCATTTTAACTGAACACAGAAAATTGTGTACTTAGCCATCAATCATAATCAGTGTGTGCTATAGATACTACCGGCTATTAGAAACCACAAATAACTGTAATGTAGTCCAAACTCAGCATTCGAAAGTTGATACTCGAGTTGAGCCACACAACGTTTTCAATCTCGAAAGTACTTTATGGGAAGTAATTAAGTTACTGATCTTTTTGAAAGTCATAAACTTTTCCGAACAATTATTGGTCAAAAACTGAAAGAATCCGCTGCCTCAGTCACAGTTTCATGCTCATTGTAATTGGATTCCTGATAAATTTGTCATATGTACCGATACAGTGTTTTTCCGTTAATGAAAAACCTGACCGATCAAATTCATTACATAGAATCATTAAAGTCCGTATTGATTCACACAAATAAAACAGTCTGTTAATGCACATACTTCTCTCACACACACGTAACTACATTAACAAAAGCAATGATTTGAAAGCCTGACAAAAATTTATTTGAAAATGGCATATATGTATTTATCATCATATGAAAACTGCACGTTTTATTTTAGAATGTCTGCCCCTAACAAGGTAGTGGTATATTGTGTTGAAGTGTGCTGAATTATTTACTTTGAACAAATATTTAACTTAGTATCTGATGGACAACAAAGGTATTTACAATATTCTAGTTACAAAAATAAATAAATAAATTGGGTTCCACATAAGTTTTAAAAAAGTAAAAATCTTTAAAAACGAGGGAATTTTTAAGGATCGGTCACAGGGAATAAAAGCAGCAGTGACTTCGTGGTTAAGAAACGAGACTTCTGACGACAGAAATGTATCTGGGTCCTGTATGAGTTTCAGAGACACAGAATAAAGAGACGAGATTTTAAAGTCCTGGGTAGTAGATTGCATTCCAAGGCTCGACAAAAGATTTGAACACTACTAGCAGTGCGGCTTTACAGAACCAGGAATAACATTCCCTGAACTCGAATTACTAGAATTAGTAAGGTATAGAAAATAAGATGAAGCCATAAGAGATTGATTAAGTGTAGGGAGAGAAGTCTAAAGAAATGAAGAAGAGATTTAATTGTGGATAAGGTGATCTCGGGAGTTTTTTGTTAGGAATAGTTCAGGTTATCGAGCTTTCTGTTAAACCTTGATAACATTTCCCCAATTCATATTTCCACAATGATGGTTGTTATTATTTGATCAGTTCTTACTGATAGTTGGTCCTAATCTGATGTATTGTTGCTACATACAGTCTTTATACTTTGATATTGTTTTCTTAAATATCAAGTTTCTCCAAAACCATACTTCCGTTCCCATCTCACAGTAAAGTCAGTAGTACGATTTCGTCATCGGACAGTAAGTTGCAACACTTAGTTTTACCTCCCTTTAATCGATTCCTATATAATGGTAAGGCTGAAGGTTCCAGTTAATATAGCTTGATCATTATAGGTAGGCCCGAACATAACATCAAGAGAGCAACGACGGTAACTTGCTTGTATGGAACGAGTAAGCTAATCAGCAGTAATGCATCGATAGGTTCAGCGTCAATTAAGGAAAAAGTAGCTGGCAGATATTAATTGTAGCAAATGTATAGAATTATCTTCTCAAACAGATCCTAATACATACATAACACTGTTTGATTTAGCCTTTCCCAAAAAAAAACTATAAATTACGGATTCATGTGAGAAGAATGATGCTATTTCAGAGATGTAAACTGAACAAAATAGTATATAATGATCATTTACTAAAAACGTTGAGCGGTTAACCAAAATTCATCTTTCCCTTCAATCTTACATCTTAACGAGTCAACTAACTCATTCGACAGATACTTGGGTATGAGCCACACTCGAACTGTGAGGGTTAATGAGGCGACCTGGTTTCCCAAAAAGAAGCAGATGGCGCGGGATTCGAAACTGCAAATTAATGGCTAAAAGTTGAACGCCTTTGCTACTGAGCCACCGACAGTGAGTAGCGTTGGGCTTTTACAGACTGACTCATTTAATTCCAGGTTTATCAAATTATTATTATTATTATTTGAACACATAAATATTGGTACAAGGAGGCAACAAATACATATGCGTCACACAGATCTCATTTGATATGTGTGAGGGCTGTGATACCGCCCGGGTGCCCAAACCGAAGCAGGTGGTTTTCTTAGGGGGCCACACCCCGAGCCTTTGACCTGAAGATCTGATCCACAAGGCAGTGGAGCATCGTAAGGAGATGCAGTCCCATGGTAGCCGGTGACCAAAAGTTGGTTCATACGCCATTTGTTCCCGCAGGATACTGGAGCACATGTGCACCATTGGTTTGGGATCCGGTTAAAGCGGCGGACATTCGCTCTTCGTCCTCTCATTTACGTAAACAACACCCCCGCCACGTGAAGGCAGTGAGTAGGACTTCCCTGGCAGAGGCTATATACGCGTGGCCATGTGAGAGTATTTCGAGAGGGAGAGCGGACTCTCCCCACTCTCGGCCGTACCAGGGCGGTGGTTGGAGGTAGTCGACAGGAAACCCTGGACCCGGGTTTCGTGCTACTTGGCACTCGTCATCAAGGTGTACCTGTAATCTTTGAGGGAACTGGTTCTCCCTGGCGGACTCGATCCCGTGTCACCCATCTTCACAGTCAGAGACGTTACCACTGAGCTATCCGGGCCGCGGTTCATCAAATAATCATGACTTACATGAGGAGATGTTGATGATCAATTAAATCAGCTGCTGGTAGACGACAAGCTGAGAAAACGATTATTTTACGACCGAGTTTATCATCTCCTGCACCTTGTAATACACCCAGCCGAGAAATATCTGGATAATCAGAATCAATTACATCTTGAACACTGAGCTCCTATAAGTAAAAAAAAGAGTAAAAGTTTCAACGCTATGATAAAAATAATTACTTTAAAACATTGATTTTTCTGGTAAAAACGTAGCTTAAGCAAAATACAATAAGTATATCAAATGGACAACAAATTATCGTAAAACTAGTAATAAAATCTTTGGTGATAATACCTCAATGAATTTGATCATTTAAATTTATCAAAAATTTAAAAATTCCCTGATCAGTCAGTAACCTATAGTTGAAAGATGAAAAATACAGTCGTGGTGGAATATGGCGAAACTAATTAAAACATTTATACATTACAAGAAGGGATACTACTAATTTCCAGGTCATATTGAAGTTGACATGTATCCTGTGTTTCATTGGCTGAATACTTACAATTGGTTGAATTTGAATAAGCCCACTATAATCGGACGTCAGACTAATTCAAAGAACAATGGAATGTGACTGTGAATTTAGTACTGTGCCAATATGATTGGTACAGGAAGCCACTCAAGAAAGATCCTCTTTTAGTCATCCTAAGAATAATCCTAAGAAAAATGCTAATGATTGTACATTAGGTAGTTAGTAACACTTGTAAGATAATGTTATATGTATCGTGAATATAGCCATCAAAAGCCCTGGTATGACCGAGAGTGGGGAGAGTCAACTCTCCCTCTCGAAACGCTCTCAAGTGGCCACGTGCATACAACCACTGTCAGGGAAGTCCTACTCACTACCTTCTCGTGGTGGGGGTGTTGTTTACGAAATTGAGAGGATGAAAAGCTAATGTCCGGCGCTTTAACCGGGTTTGGTAGATATGGAGGGTCCACCGAGGATAGTTGGAAAACCCTGATTACAAACCAATGATGCACATGAGCTCCAGGATCCTGAGGGAACAAATGGCGTATGAACCAATTATTGGTCACCGACAACCATGTGACTGCATCTACGGACGTTGCTCCACTGCCTTGTGGATTAGACCTTTAGGTCCAAGGCTCCGGGTGTGGCCTCTTAATAAAACCGCCTGCTTCTGTTTGGACACCCGTGCAGTATCCCAGCCCTTATACAAATCGAATCATTTAAGTGGCGCATATCTATTTGGTACCTTCTTTAACTAATGTTTACGTGTTTAAATTAATTAATTAACTGTGAATATGTGTGAATCAAAATCCCTCCATGCATACTTTCCAAAGGGCAAACAATTTCGCGTTTCTCTGAATATAAGATAAACATTCTCAACAATTCAATTTCTGTGCACCATGTTAAAGTTCTTGGTAGTTTCTACATGTACAATTATGTTAAATAATTATTTATTTATTTGAACACAAAAATATTGGTACAAAGGTGCACCATATATATATGCGCCATACAATAATAATGAGAATGTGAAGATATAAAGAATGTAAGGTGCGTAAAAAGAAGTACAACAATGAACAGAAATTAGTTTATGATACTGAAATAACAATAATGGGAGGGGCAGTTCAACTGGCAAAATACAACCACAAAGAATTCTTCCACTTAAAGAGATTGCGTCATTTTTATGAAGAAAGTAAAAAAAAGTTACAGCAGGATCGCCACTGGCTTCTGTTCTGAGCCCTATCTGATAACGTATCCAGCCACTGTATCGCACCATCTCTAGGACTCCAACCAGGGAGTCGTGAAGGACCAACAGAAGCCAGCTTTCTTTCATACCACGACATGTCATACACTAACCACCTCTCAGCTTTTTTCAACTAGTCCCAGAGTGGGTAAATCTTGCACGAAGTGGAATTCTCTGAGACGACATTCGCAGGACATGTTCGAGCCACCGAAGTCGATGTTTCAAGATAGTGACACTAACTGAATTATCGTCTCTGTGCCCGAACACACGATGCTGAACCTCTGCATTGCTAACAAGGTGTTGCTACTGGATGTCAGTAATCCTTCGGAGACAACGATGATCAAACACAGAGTCGTCTAACATCCCCAACTCGGAAACCAGGTTTCACAAGCATAGAGCAAAACTGCCCTCACCAACGCGTCGTTGACCCGATCTTTTACAGCCAGACTAACATCACAACGGCACCAAAGATGGCCCGGATCGGCATGAGCCGCTCTGGCTTTCACTATACGTGAACTGATCTCATCACTCACGCCACCACCAGCACTTATGCAGCTACCCAGATATACGAACTTCTCGACTGCTTCTATTTGCTCACTACCCAGGGTGAGTGTAGGATCAGGGTCCTGCCAATCTTGTAAAAGTACTTTGCACTTAGAAGGTGAAAAGCAAATACCACACCTACGGACACTAATTGCCAACTGATTACGTGCGGATTGCATGGCTTGGGTATTATCGCACAGTAAGACAATATCATCCGCATATTCAAGGTCGAGGAGTCTTTCTCCGGGCAACAGATCCACGCCGCCATTACTTACATCCATCAGAGCTGTTTCCAGAACGTCGTCGACAGCAAAGTTGAAGAGGAACGGTGAGGTTGGGCAACCCTGCCTAACCCCACTGCTTAAATAGAACAATGGAGAGAGGTGGTTGTATGTCCTGAGGTGTTTGTATATAGGGCATTTAAGATGTTAATAAACTTCTCAGACACACGCTTCTTCAAAAGACGATTGCCATTATCTGTTCGCTGAGCCGGAATACCAAAATACCCAACTCAATGTCTTTCTGCTTGGTTTAAACTATGTACCTGTGTGTTAAAGTCACCTGCAACGAATATTATGTATGAGCATTCAGCTTTATGAAGAAGTTCGGAAACTTTTTTGTAACAATCATCTTTCACTTCACCCAGGTTACAGTCAGTGAGAGTGTAGGCAGAAATGACGGAAAGGCAACTACGTTTATCCCTATCCTTCCGAAATCCTACGGAGCCGTTTAGCCGTACAGAATATAGGCGATTGTTAACAGGGACCCGATCCAAAATTATTTGTTCTACCCTTGCTCTCAGTGCTATGCCTACACCCGCCAGTTCACGAGAACTAGCCATCGGGTCGTCAGACAAACGGAGGGTGTATCTCGTCGGCTTTCCCTTTTGGCGAAGTGAGGTCAAGTGAGTGACCACACTGGGATCCTGTATGCGTGTTTCGGAGACACAGCATACATCAGTGGTATGAGATTCTAGGGTTTTAGCCAAGGAGGCCTTCTGGCCTATTTCATACAGAGTACGTACGTTGAAGGCTCCAATGTGTAGTTTGGAGAGAGGTTTCAGTAGACCTGAGACAGTGTTTCGCGCAGTAGAATCGTTGGCCATGGTGACACTTGAGGAGGAAGTCAGAAGAGGAAGTTTAGAGTTGAAAGTCAAGGTAGGAGTAATAATTGATTATGAATAGTCATCTTGAGTGCTATTAGAGGTATGAGGACGATTATCACTGACCGGTTCTTCCAGAGGTACCTGAAAAAGAAATTGGGTAGGAGGTGGTCTTAGCGACCTGAGAGCGTGACTGCAGTGCCTAAGGGGCAACTGCTTGAGGCCGGCTACACACGACCTTTTTGTGAGTAATTGTTGTGTTAGCTCCGTACTTGCTGAGACTTAATTGCCGGAGACGGAAATCTGTGGGATAAGGCGAGATGTGCATTTCTAGGGTCGACTTTTTCCAACCCCACCCTTCCCTGTGGAAAGGCAGCATTGCCGTTATACTGGTTGTCTGAAGGAAACACCTTACTGCCGTCACACTTCTGTACAGTCAGCAGTACGACTTCGCCCTCGGACATTGAGTTTACTGCTTTGAGTCTTACCGCTCTTCAACCGACCTGTCTGGCATGGTAGGACCTTGAGGAACGATTGTTCCAGCCAGTATAACTCGATTGTATTTATTTTATTTATTTTAACATATAGATATTGGTACAAGGAGGCACCAAATACATATGCGCCACACAAATCTCAATTGATATGTGTGGGGGCTGTGATACTGCTCGGGTTCCCAAACCGAAGCAGGTAGTTTTCTTGGGGGGCCACACCCCGAGCCTTCGACCTGAATGTCTGACCCATAAGGCAGTAGAGCATCGTAAGGAGGTGCAGTCCCATGGTAGCCGGTGACCAACGATTGGTTTATACGCCATTTGTTCCCATGAGCATCATTGGTTTGGGATCCGGTTAAAGCGGCGGACATTCGCTTTTCGTCCTCTCATTTTCGTAAACAACACCCCCGCCACGAGAACGCAGTGAGTAGGACTTCCCTGGCAGAGGCTATATACGCGTGGCCATGTGAGAGTATTTCGAGAGGGAGAGCGGACTCTCCCCACTCTCGGCCGTCCCAGGGCATTTGGGGGTTCATTACGATAGGTAATGAACCATGTCAAGGTAGCAGTAACGTTGGGAATATTTATTGGTCATATTATTTTGTAAATGCCAGGTTCAAGTCAAAAGTCAAATTCGGCTACAACGAACAATTACAAAACTAAAACTTTCCTGCTGTACGACAAGTCCTTTTTAATACATCTTCATGCTACAGCTTCAAAATTATTAATCTTGGTAAATTAGGTGATACTGATGATCCCAGTAGGCCCCAGTGTAAAAACTTGCTTAGTGGGTGGAACAGATTTAAGAAATACAAGCCACCTTGAAAGATCGGTAGGTGTCGATTGAGTAAAGATGTTTGTGAATTGAGTGATCAGAGAGAGCACCAACTAATTAAGTATCCTTACAGTAAAAGTATTCTCGAGTCCGTATTGCTCCTGACCATGGTAGGGAGTGAAGCATCAAAAGTAGGATTAGGGTATCGTTATGGGGAACCAATGTCTTATCAGAAGTTTATGAGTCAGTTTGAAATCTACGTGGCTTTGAATGTATATGATGATGGACGACTTTCATATCTCATGGATTGTTGTAACAGGTCTGAGACGTTATTGAGGGTTGCATGATGTCGGAACCATCTGAAGGCTATTGTCGATACCGCGAAATACCTAGGTGGCTTTTCAAACAGGCTCATAGTGTCTCATGAAATGATAATCCAGGAGTCCTATCAAATTTGCATATTACAATGGAAAATCGTACTAAAGAGTTAGAAAAAATGAGCTACACAGTAGA